TATCATGTATTTGTTATGGCTTGTATATACGCCCCAATTTTAATATTTTCGACTAACTACTTTTTGTTTCATTCTATTACTATACAATAGTTGTTAACTTCTATGAAAGGCTATTTTTGAGCGCGCGCGTGTGTGTATGCGATCTACAATCAAGTCTATCGTACTCGTATGGTTCTGACATTTTGTGCAAAGGTAATCCTTGTACGATCGAGGAAGTGCACACCTCGGAACCAATTTATTAAATTTTGCATTTTAAAGAGGGACGCACAGGGATTTGCCGGCTCACAAAAAACGAATATTTATCTGTTTGTATACGGAACTGTCGTTACTTGCATAAAATAAAATAGCAATCATAATAATTCTAAATTATTTTATATCGGTATTTTATATTTTTACAAAACGAAAACCACTCAAATTGATTTAACAACTGAAAATCACACTGTTAAAATATATGTAGCCTAAATTTAACRGACTTGATGATTTCACAGGGTAAATTCACTATATAGCAGGGGTGGCCAACAAGTTGATCGCGAGATAAACTCGCATTTTTTCGAATTTTTTTCAGTTTCATTTCAATGATRAAATAAACCTAATAAAGTGAGTAGTAATAAGTTAAAAACTGCAATAATTTGTACAAGTCTATTAGTTGGTCATGGCCGCCCTTGCACTATAGCTAAGCRCTATTTGATTTGTCACAGGCAACGTAGTCGTGCAGGATCAGCTATATAGTTTTTAAGAACAATAATATTCACTTAATATACCTACTTTTCTGTTCAATTCATAGTAATTGATAAGCTTAATAATATTTTTTGTTTGCATAATATTATGTATTATTATAATTATGTCTATATTTTATCAATCTATACAGTTCTATGTGACATAGAGTTAGTGACAGTAATAAAYTGTTAAATTTATGTTAATTTATCAAGTAAAATAATATCAATATTAAATATTATTATGTATTGTTTTTAATATTTAATGTTTAGGTATATTGTCAGTTTTTTTATGGGTGGGTGGGTAGGTGGTTAACATCAATGTTTGCCCTTGTGAAGAAAATGTTCGTGACGCCACTGTCTATGTCGATTTAGATTGTAAAATTGTATTTTTTTTTGTGAAGATCTCGAACTTAGGTCACTAAAATAATATGTTCGGTGTCGCATTAAAACGCCGAYGATCGAGATATGACAATTCATAAATTTAATTTAGTTTTATTTTTGTCCGACTCGTAGGCGCAACACGCCGATGGACGACTTGACAGTACACTTGGGTGACTACGACCTGACCGCGGCCAACGAAACGGAACACCAGGCACGTAAAGTGTCTCGCGTGCTGTTCCACTCTCATTTCCATCCGTTCCTGTTGGCCAACGACATAGCGCTACTGCAACTCGATCGGCCGGCCACTGCGACCGACACCGTCAGACCCGTGTGTATGCCGTCCACCGACGGTGAGTAGTGTCAGCACAATAATCATATTATATTATATTAGTAAAATATA